GAACCGATTTAATCAAAACTAATCTCCCTGCCAAGGAAAGGGTGGCAGCTTTCCAACATGCTAGTTTGTTGTTAAATTTTGAAACAACCGGATCCCAAAGAGAGGTTGAATTCAGTGTTGCACCAAGCGGCAGACCTAGATAATCAGAAGGAAATTTCCCACTGCACAGCCAATAGACGACGCCCACTCCTCCACCTCCTCTGTAGCCGTATTAACACCAATAACTTGCTTTTCTTAAGATTCAACTGCAGCCAGACATAACTTCAAACACTCTTAAGACCCTTTTTACATTTGAAATCTCCATTTCGAAGCCCCACAGAAAATAATTAGGTCGTCGCAATTGCAGATGAGATAAGTTGAAAGCAGTCTCATTCCTCCCAATATGCAAACCAGAAAACAATCCATCAGAGACAGCCTTTAAGAGCAAGACATTTAGGAGTTCCCCAACTAAGTTAAAAGCAAGGCGAAAGAGAACAGCCCTGGCGGAGCCCCTTGCCATAGGAAATTCCTGAGAAGGTACCCCATTTATCAAATGAAATAGAGCAGTAGTAACACATGTTTTATCCAACTTCTCCATTTAGAACCGAAACCCATTTTCTCCATAACCTTAAAAAGAATAGACCAATCCACAGTGTCGTATGCCCGTCTAAAATCCACTTTAAACACACATCCTTGAGTCCCTTTTTCCTCCAAAAATCAATCCCTATTGCTATAAGAGACAATCCAGAATTTGACGACTGGAATGAAAGCAAACTGCATAGGGATATTACATCAGAAATGCAATTCCTAATCTCCTCGAAAGACATTTTGAGAGGATCTTGTACAAACCTCCTACAAGGCTTATAGGTCTATAGTCATCTAATCCACCAATATTGGCCACCTTGGGGATAAGAGTAATGAAAGTATGATTTACTCATGTTCCCAATCTTTCCCTAAAAAAGTTATGAAAGAATTTCAGAATATCAACCTTAAGAACAACCCAAAATTTCTTGAAGAAGCCCATATTAAAACATCCGGGCCGGGAGCTTTGTTGCTATCACATGATTGTAGAGTCTCCCATTTTCTTCCTCCGTGAATTCTTTTTCAGAATATTACTTTGCTCCACTGAAATTTTGAAAAATTCATCTTCATATCTTCTACTTCCAAAGTAGAACTAGAGTTGTAAATTCCAAAAAAATGATCTTTGACACAAGCTTTGATGACAGATGGATCTTGAGTTATCTCTCCATTGACATTCAAAGCATTCATGGAATTCCTCTTTCTCCTAATCAACGCACAAGTATGAAAAAATCTTGTATTGCGGTCCCCTTCTTCCACCCATCTAGCTCTCGATTTTTGAAACTATATTTGTTCTTCAATCTTATACAACCTCCATAATTCTGATCTCATATTTTCAAATCTGATCCTCTGTCCCAAACATATGTACCTTGCCTCTGCTGCAAGTTCACCTCTTCCAAGTGAATCCTCTTTTCTAAATCTGTAATCTCTACAGAAGGAAAATGGTCTCTCTTCCCCGCCCATTGTTTGATCGTTTAGTAGATTTCAGGATAGATAGAATTCCTGCTTTCCTCTGATCAGACTTGCATTCTTTAACGTAGACTCACTAAATTCTGGAAACCGTCCTCTTCCATCAAATAATTAAAGAGTTGAAAGGTTTCTTCCCCCAACTGACCCCCTCATTCTCCAAAAAAACAGCATTATGATCTACACTGACCTTGGCAACAAGTATTGTGTAAACATCAGGAAATGCTTCTAGGAAATGAACATCAACGAGGAACCTGTCCAGTCTAACATAGGTGGGTAATCCTGGTTGTTACACCAAGTGAATCTGCCCCCATGTAAAGGTAAATCAATTAACCCTGTATGTTGCATAAATTGGTTGAAAATTCTTATGAACTTCTGTTTGGAGCTCTCCCACCTTCTTTCTTCAGAAAGATGCACATTAAAATCACCTCCCACACATAAAGGGTATTCAGTCCACAAATAAAAACAACTAACTCTTCAAAGAAGCTTGCTTTCTCTTCTTCAATACTAGGCCCATAAACATTAATAAAACCACACCTAAACTGTGAAGTTCGAAACTTTCCAAAAACTGCAATAAACCTTCTGTTTATAATAAGTTGTCAACTTCAAAAGAGCACTCATCCCAGCAACTCAATAGCCCTCCAGAAGAACCCACATGCTGGAGATTCGCAAAACCTTGAAGAGTATTCAAACCACTTCTCCTTAGAAATTGTCTCTGAACCTTCTCCACTTTTGTTTCTTGCAATAGAAGAAGAATAGGACGTCTCTTTAAAACTAGATTTTGAACAGCTCTGTGTTTTCCTTCCTTCCCAAACCCCTAACGTTCCACGTAATAATGGCTAATTGAAATTTCATCATGATTCAAATAAGTATTAGAAAACCCAATAAACACCGAAAATCAAACCAGCCTCAATCCTCCTCCCAACTTTATGATTTTCTCCAAAAAGCTGATTTCCCACCCTTGAAAGACACCCAATCTATTACTGATTTCCCAAGTAGCTATAGCTTCCTCCAAAAGAATAACAAAATCGAAGAAGAAACTGTTTCAATGCTAACTTGATCCAATGCCAATCTGGTCAACAATCTTTTGGCTCTTCTATTAAAGGACTTAGAGTTGAAGGAATAACTATCTCCTTCTAAGTGCCACCCTCCCACATACTATCCAAACTGCTGCACAACCTGTCTCTCCAAGTAGACCCCATACAGCCTTCCAAATTAGGTTCTGCAACGCACTGACCGGCAGAACTGAATTAGGATCCAAAATCTTCCCATTTAGCCTCTCTAGAGATTCCTTTTCTCGAGGAACAACAATTCATCTTTCTCTAACAATGTCTTCTCTCCCTGGATCTCTTGTAGACACTTTTGAAGCTAATACTTCTCTTTTCCAACGGTTCACTCTTTGTAGTCAATGGAGAGTTGGATCGATCAAGCGTTCTTCCCCTGGAAATCTTACTTCCAGAACATAAAATGTAGTCAATCGACTTTTCCTCTAAATTTGATTCCAATCCTCTAGAACATTTCTCAAACTAGAAAGTGGCAGACCTCCATTTTTATCTTCCTTGAGTTTGCAGATTCAACCAGAAACTGCTTCTGGTCCCATTTTCCCAAATTTATCCGCTTAACACCAGGCCCAGCTGGAATAATTTTTAGAGGTGGAGACCAAGTTGCCCATTATCTAATGATTGGGCTATAGACCCATCAGCCGAAAAATTTGAAATCTACATCCCAAACCCGCGTATTCACCAAATTGTTAGTCCCAAGATCCTGACACGCTGTCAGCACACTTAATGCCTTTCCAACTTTGTTAAACGTTGGGAGTTGAATTTCCTCACCAACTCCAACCAAACCCGTGTTAGCTCCTTGGTCAAACCAAATATCTACCTTTTGTCTGCTGTTTTCTTCGAACGTTTCAGCACTTTCCATGCTATCTGACAGACTACTGTCAACCTGTCTCTAGAAAATTCCTCACCAATTGTCTATCGTCAGAACCTCCCACCGGCGACTTGTTAAAGGAAACGGAAGAATACTCAAGCACCGAACCCAGCTTTAATCTTAACTTTGAACGATCTTCCATAGGATCCCAATAGTTATCTCTCAGGGACGTCATAAGGGCTGGCCACCCTAACCAAATCTCTTCACCATCGATAGGTCTGCTCTGATAACTGTATCTTCATGAATCTCTTCCACCAATCCCCACTTTCCTGCTACCCGTTCCAAAAAGGAATTTTGCAACATAACATGGAACCCCAAACAGATGTACGAGGCAAAAGCCATTGGAACACCATCATCGTTCAATAAAAGTGCCAACCTATCAAACCAGAAAAATAACTCATCCTTTTTCTAGCCATGCATCCATCATTTCTTCAGTCGACTTAAATGTAATACACGAATTCCAGACATAACCCCATCTGGAGATCTGGACATCAAAACCTTTTAACTAAGGCCTTCTGGACTAATTCGAACTCAAAAGAATGTTTGATGATCCCCGTTAATGATCTCTTCACCCAACTGGAGCTCTCAGACGGAATATGCATTTCCCAACTATTTTTTATACCTTTCCTCCTGTTGAAACCATCGATCGACCAATCCCTATGGTCCGATGCATTTTCTTCAATCTATCAGACAGTAAGGCCTCCTTGTAAGATCTTGTATCCCTTACACTCCTGTTAATAACACCTTTCTCTTGAACCTTGAAAGATCTTCTGTGTTCGACCTTGAAGGCATCACCAAAGAAGTGTTCTTCCCGACTGACCTCACCCTAGCATCCTTGTATCTGCAGTACCCACTGAAATCCTCCAACCATCAATCATCGAACCATTCAGTTTGGCTATCGCCCTTCTTAGACTTTCCTCATTGCCAAAATGCACAAAAGCAAAAGTGAGAATTTGTATTTCGGATTCCTTGTTTCTCTGGGAATGAACACTCTGACTACCGGACCGTGAGATGAAAACAACCCCTTAACTCTCGTCGAGACACTCTTTTACTAAGATGATCAACGAACGCCGTCCAAACATTCTCTGAAGAAAATTCCCCTCTCAATTTTACTCTCTCAACGTCACTATCTCTCTCCATTATCTCTCAGTTTGATGCTGAAATCAAGAAGATGAAAGTCAAGAACTGCTATTTCCCTCTCTTTGTATCTCCAGGCGTTTTGCAGAAGGAGAAGGATCACATAGAGGGTTTTGCTCCTCTCGCCATCCTTAATGCCGTCCTCATCATCAACCCAAAAAAGATGAGAACAAGTGTAAACAGCTCTGCACTGATCAGGCTTCTTCAATAGCCGAACCTGTTTCTCTGTTGAATCATCAATTATTCAAAATAACTTATAGAATATGCATCAATAAGGGACTTTTGAAATTTTAAACAGGATGATTTTAATGGCTCGTTATTTTGTGATTGCATGCAAGTTCAACTTATAGAGCTAATACTGCAAATCTTTGCTCTTGGTGTTTTCGAGTTTTCTATTGTGCTTATATTTTGAACAATTTTAAACAGGTACATTCAATGATATGGATCATCACCAAGTAGCAGCCCTTGCAAGTTGTTTCATTCCAGTAGATAAATCAAGTGAACAAATACAGTGAGGACAGAGATTGCTAAACCATTACAGCAGCTCCAAGAAAGTGCAAGAAAAATAGCCGAGGTTTTTAACCTGTCAAGTTCTCTCGTTCATATGCATTATTTACTTACCATGAATAAGATAATTCAACTTGCTGGTTTCAGATACAACATGAATGCAAATGGATGTAAACATCGACGAGTATGTAGAATCAACAGTGAGACCATTCTTGATGGACGTGATTTATTGTTGGTCAAAGGTTAGTACTTCTGCTAGGAAAAGGTTGCCTTGTGTTCAACATATGCATCTGGCTTCATTTTGAACTTATATTTGGAAATATATTTCCTCTCTGGTTGCCTATATACTCATTCTCTAATGTATTTTTATGCGACTTTTTTGTTTTGCCATTAGTACTATTCAGATGTATTGTATTCTAGGTGTCTGCTCTGTTTGGGCCTATTATCCTTTTCAATTCTTTCTTTATTGATTTTTGGCTTTACTCGTTTTTTGATTGTTTTCTTCAGGGTGCAACTTTTGCAGAGGTAATTCAGATGACTGATATATTTGAGGGTAGCATTATTAGGAGTGCTAGAAGGCTTGATGAGTTTCTAAACCAGGTATGTTAATTAGAAAAGTTATTTTCACTCCTCCTTCCGGTATTTATTGTGACTGAATGCCTTTCTGCTTTTGTTTGCCTTTTTTCGCTGTTAGGACTTTTGGAAACACAGATTTGGGTTTATTGAACTTTATTTTTTTATTTTCTAGTGTTCAACTGTTTTCCAATATTGAACTGTGTGGTAAACATTGTAATCTTATTGCCTTGGTTTTGTTTGCGTGAATTTCAACTTTATTTTATTTGGATGCAAGATTACAATTTAAAAGGAAGGGTTATAGACCATTATTCTATCGAGTCAAGTCATCTAACCTTGTTCCGACCATTAATAAATTTGGTAGTTGGGGGGTGGAACTTGCTTCAAAAGCATGTTTCATGCTCAGTGTTGATATAATCGTGTTGTGTTTGTGTCAACCCCATTTGATGTTTGTTATGCCACTATCTCGAGGATACCCTTATAACTTGTGAACTTGAATTGCCAGCCCTGGGCATGGGTTCTCATCTTAAAGAATTAAAATCCCTCTTAATCTAATGATACCTATAGTATAGATTCTCTGGTGGGAGGGCATGCCAATACAGGCTTTCCAAGCTATGATTAACTCAAATTTGAAGAGAGATGTGTTGAAACTTTTATGTATCGTGTACCCAGCTCCGTACCGCTGCTCAAGCTGTCGGAGAAGCTGATTTGGAGAAGAAGTTTGCTGCGGCAAGTGAAGCCTACGCCGAGGTATCATGTTTGCCAACTCCCTTATCTGTAGATGTGTTTTTTACTATGCAATGGACATAAAGCTTTGTATGGTCTAATGATATAAGCTGACCACCATAGATTTTATCCTCTTCTTCTTCTCAACTTTTACCCAGCATTTTTTCCATTCCATCCCGTTTTAGTTTCTATGGGACTGTACCTCTAATTTGCTTATTTCATCTGATTTGTAATAATGCACCAACTTAGTAGCTTTAGATGATTTTTTTTTTTAACATTGCTGGAGGCATCTTTATTACATTGGTTGAATGAGCTCCGGTGAGAATAGGGATGGGCACAGGGTGGGTCGGCTTTTTGGCTGTCCTGCCCAACCTACCCGACGTTTGACGTTGTTCCCCCCCCCCCCCCAACCTGGCCACTGCTCGACTCAACCTGAACATTTCCCCCCATTTTTATCTGGCAAGATAGGAAGATAATTAATATACATACAGGGGTTTTATAATAAAATTCCCAAGTATATAAGGGTGTTATAGTAATTATTTGGACAGGGTTGTTTTATTTTACTCTAACTCGATTGTGCACTCGAATGCCATAAATCTCATCTGATCTTACATCAATTCAATTTATTTTTGGGTGGTGTTGAAATGATTCTAATCGATCTAGAGAATATTATGATTATGCCGTATTTTCAAAGGGCTTAATCGTCGAGAATTGGTTTATTCATAGTTTTCTAAAAATATGATATTTTAAGAATATTTTTATATAATAAAAATGATAAAATAATAAAAAATAGACATCAGTTGTTTTTCAACTCGTAAACAGCTAAAACGAACCGAATATAATTAAGTAAACGGAATTTAATAAAATGAACTGCAAAAGGATTAAAGAAAATCGGTATACTATTTTTCCAAATAAGTTGTGAGAAGGAATGTTGAACTTAATTGGCTGCTGTTTTCATGGATTATTGGACAATGACCAATTTCGTTAAACATATTCATCTATCAACCGAAAACGTTACTCAAAAATTCAGCGACATTTTGGGAGTTAATTAGTAAACGTTTGGGACATTTAGATTTTTTTTAGAACATTTTAAATTTGAATATTTTGAACTTTAAACATTTTAGTTTGAAACTTTCAATGTCCGATAATTATAAGAATTCAAATTATATCTAAAGTTGAATAACTTAAACTTCTAATAGATAACAAAACTCTATTTAACATTTTTTTTATCCACAAGATTCAAACTTGATATTAAAAGGATGCTATACTCACTATTCAACCTGTAATATCTGTATTCTTACATTTTTCGATTATCTATGTTTCTTTTTTGTGGAGGTGATTTTGGGTTTTCTGTGAGGTTTATTGGATAAAACCCTAATTGGTGTTCACTTTTGCTCTTCGTTGTTGTTGCTTCTTTTATTTTACATCGTCCCCAAAACTCAACAGATCACAAATTGGTTGGTGTTATTTCTCTGAATCTGGTGGCTAGTTAGCCATTCGCATGATTTCCCGAAAGATATACTGTGCTTTTGTCTTTGTTTGTGTGAATGGTAGTAGCCAGTAGGCTCACCTAAATCATTGTCTTGAATGTAAAACCGGGCTATTCTCTTTCACGGTTTCACTTACTGGCCGTCAACAACATCTCTCATTATTTTTCCCTTCTCAAGTTGTCAAATTTATTCAATAATTCCGATGAATAAATAAAGTTTGCATCTTGTTTTCTTTCTGGGGTTTCAGGATTCTTCTTCTAGGTTGTATGGTGCACCATCTTTGTTTTATTATTTTTTAATATTGGCTTTTGCAGTTTCAATTTCTAAAAAGGAGGGTGAAGATTGAATGAGATGAAGGGGATAAAAATTTGTTCTTTTATTTACTTTTACATATATTCTAGACGCAGTTATCATGCTCCCTCCCACCACTTATTTACTGCGATCGACCCTGCTTGATGGAAGTAGACAATAATAGTTATAATGTTCTGTCCTTTGCTGGTTCGAACTTGGTTTTTAGTGATTACAGTCACATTATCGCAAGTTTAATATTTTTTTTTTCACCTAAAAGATATTGCATCTACATTTAAGGTAAATACAACAGACATTGTGAACCTCGTGGATTTTGTATGGAATTTTTTTGGTTAAAAGCGTGAGCCTTGTACTGTTTTTTTATTCAAAGCCATGGTTAATCGAGGTCTTTTGGATTGGATTGGATTGGATTGGATTGATTTGATTAATTAATTAATTAATTAATACTTTGTAGCAGTGAAATTGACAAAACTCACGCAATAATGTATTGAAAAAAAATAATTCACAAGATATTGCTCTCGAACAATTAATTGTCGAAATGGGACGATTGCTACAGTAATTGTGTTGGTCGCCAGGTGGTCCAAACGACCTATTTAGGTCGCCATGTAGGCTGTGCGCCATTGTTGGTCGCCATGTAGGCTATGCGCCATTGTTGGTCGCCACGAAGGCTATGCGCCATTGTTGGTCGCCATGAAAGCCATGCGGCATTCTATCAAAAGTATATTGCTTAGTCCAAAGCGAGCTGTGCAGGGGACGTTTGCATGGCACATGCACGTCCCCAATAGGTCGCCATGCATTCCCCAACACCCCTACAAGGTCGCCAAGTACTCCCAGCGACCTACAAGGTCGCCATGCACTCCCAGCGACCTTGTAGGTCGCCAAGCAATCCCGGCGACCTTGTAGGTCGCCAAGCAATCCCGGCGACCAAGCCTCGACTTATGCATGAGTTGCATCCATAGCTGGCTCCCTCGTGCATGGGTTGCATCCATAGCTGGGAGATTCCTGCATCCAGGGAGATTGTAGCCAAGCTTTAACTCTCTGTTCCCTCATGCATGCGTTGCATCCATAGCTGGGAGATTCCTGTATCCATAAGCGTTAATTTAGCTGCTAAATGTAGCAAATATTGCTGTTGAATTGTAGCCTTTCAACGCTCAATAGTTACACGATTCAATGCTCAATATTATTTGCTTCAACAATCAAATTTAATGACGCTCTCCAACGCTCATTTTCTTTATATAGAGGATATGGAGGTTTAGGGTTTAGGGTAAAAGTAGAAGCAGCACATATAGAAACTTTATCGAGAGAAAGAAAAGGAAGAAGAAGAAAAGAAGATAAAGGCTCAAACATTTTTTTGAGGTAAGTTTTTATTGTTTAATTTAGTTTATTATATGAAATTATTAGTTTGTTAGCTTAGGGTTTAGGGTAAAACTAAAATTAGTTAATTAGTTTGTTAGTTTAAGTTATATTATATTAGTTTGTTAGTTTAAGTTATATTATATAAAAAATTCGTTAATTAGTTTCTTAGTTTAAGTTATTAAATATAAAAAATTAATTAATTTGTTAGTATCTTTAAACGTATATTAGGTTGTTTGTTGAAGTTATATTATAAAAAATTAATTAGTGCTTAATTAGTTGTTAGAAAGGAAAGGAAGAAGACACAAATACGCGGGTAATTTATTATTTTTTGTTGTCCATTTTTAGTTGTCGTGTATGTGTAAATTAGTTAGTTAGTAAGTTTATATTAGATAATTTGTGCGAAATAATTTCTGTTTAAAAAAATATTGTGTTTAAAAACATTTAGTGTTGTTTTAAAAATATTTTGTTTAATTTATATTATATGTGTAATTAGTAAAGAGTAAAAATTAATTGAATGAAATAATCCGGTCAACGCATTATCTCACGAAATAATTCTTTCGAGAACATTATCTCGACAGTTTGCCTAACAAATTTGTTTGATATTTTTAAGAAATAAAAATATTATCAAACTAATCATTATTATTAGTAATAATTACTAAATGATTAGTATCAAATATAAATCATTAAATATTTATAATAAATAATTATTAGTAATCATGACTAAATCATATTATTATTAAATCATCAAATATCAAATCATTAGATTAATAATAATTATTAAATCATTATTAGTAATATTAGTAATCAATCAATCAAATTAAATAAAATTTTTTATTTGATCATTAATATAATAGTATATTATATTATATTTTATGATTTAATGATTTATGAAATTATCTTATCTAATTTTTTAATCTAAATTAATTTATTTTTTATTTGTAGAGAAAATGAGCAACAACTTTTTCACGATTCTCCATTATAATGGACATATTATGGAAAATGAGGTCGGAGTAGTTTTTCAGTCTGAAAAAACAATAAATATGATGTTCAAAAAGACATCACATTTATAGAAATGAAGCATAAGATAGAAAGAAAAATTCGAGCTGCAGTTGATGGTTTGATGTATAGGTTTATGATATGCCCTAACCCAGTCAGATATGCTGCAGTTCCACTTGAAGAAGATGATGATATTAGAACCATGGTTGGATTACATGAGTCAACCAATATAGCAGTTATTGAGTTATTTGTTGATGTACGTAACATATGTGATGTTCCTGGGTCATCAAGAGGTGTGGCTCAAAATCCATCTGAAATGGCTTTATATAGTCAGTTTGAGGAGCCGACATACAAGTTCCCGAACAGTTTTATGGCACTATTGGAAAGTGTAAATGAAGTCGGGGGGACATCTGCAGCAGCAGAGTATGAGGCGAGAAACATACCGGAATTGGTTGTTGATATTGACGCTGAAAATCGATGGGGAGAAATTCATGATGATTCAAGCGAAGATGAAGAAACCGAAGAACCCGTTTTGGGCGGCGACGAAAATATTTTTGGTGGAGGTGCAATTGATGAAGTTCCGACACCGTATGAAGCTACTCCTCACATATACGAGATAGACTATGATGCGATAAGGGCATCTGAATTCCCAGACATGCCATATTTACCTCCATACCAAATGACTGAATCATTCGATAATTCTGGTGAATTTTCAGTTGGGGTGCAATTCAGAGGAAAAAATGAAGCTACCCTGGCGATTAAAGAGTACTGCATAAAATGCCATGTTGATATCCATGTTGCAGAGTCCAACCAGAAAACCCATACACGAAGTGTGTAAAATATGGCCTAGAGTGCAAGTGGAAGATCAGAGTGTCGAAAAATCAAAGGCACGATGTTGGGTCATCACGAGGTACAATGGTCCGCACACATGTTTGCGAAACTTCATCGAACAAGACCACCGACTATTGGACTCCGATGTAATATGTGAATACGTGAAGGCGATGGTTTGAAAAGGATCAAAGGATATCTTGTTCAGTGTTAGCTGCATCTATTCGAAGCCAATTTGGATATCAAGTAAAATATGGCAAGGTGTGGAATGCGAAGATGAAGGTAATGAAGC